GGACAGAGGGATGTCGTATGCTGTAAAGCCCTGTGAGGCAAATTGTGATTTGTGATATTGGGCTTTATAAATAAAATTGATTGATTGATTGAAAATAGGTCATTTGGACTATTGCTGGTGTGTATAACTTCTGCTCAGTGTTACTGATTTTAATCATGATTTACACAAAGACCCTAGAGGTTAGAGCTGGACTTTATGTCCCAGGCTTTGAGAGGTTGTAGTGTTAAAGGACACAATGCTGCATGGATTAAAGTAAACAGGGTCATTCAGAGTCCCTCAAGTCACTCAACCAATAAACAGTGAAACTACAAAGTGATTCTGCTGAAAACAGAATTTTCATAATCCAATTTTCACTCAGATTTTTTCATTTTTTTATATTCAAAGTGAATCCCTAGAAATTCCTATTATTGTTTTTGATAATTAAAAATAGTGGGGTGTCTACTAATCAGAAGGCCACTGGTTTGATCCTACCCCCCCCGGCAGTCTACATGTCCAAGTGTCCCTGGGCAAGATACTGGGCCTCGAGTTGTTGCTGATGGCTGTGCCATCAGTGTGTGAGTGTGTGTGTGAATGTTTATCCCTCCTGATGAGTAGGTGACACCTGGCATAGTAGCCTCTGCCACTGGTTGTAGCAACTCACAATGTAATAATTAAAATGTAGTAAAAGCTCATGATGTTATAATCAGCACATAATGTAATAACAGTTTTGTTGTTGTATAATGTTGAATAATGTAATAAATTCAGTGCATAGTGTAATAACTTAAATATGAGTACTCTTCCTGTCTTCTTAAAGCTTAAGAACACTTGTAGTTTTACATGACACAAGTAGTCTTTAAAGGAACTGCACTTTGTGTGTTTGGTCTAAAGGGCACCTTCATCACTCAATTCCAAATTGATAAAGCCTCTTGGGTGTGTAACACAATTCAGGACTACAGGAATATATGGGTGATTCTCAGCATGTGAAATAGTTGTTTGCTTTCCCTTATGCACAGTTATAACATTGTTATATCAGTGTATGGATGTGTGTGAATGGGTGAATGCTGGCTTATGTTGTAAAGCACTTGGAGTTTTCACTTTGGTTTCACTTTGTTAAGACTGGAAAATCTTAATTTAAATGCAGTTCATTGTTGACTATTTACATGAAAATAGTGAGCTTTCATGGTGTCTGATGGGGAAGCAGGGCACCACTGCTCACTGAATTCCACTAAATAAAACTTTTGAAACTTGGACCTGTGCAGAGACTCCGATGCTGGAGGATGCAGATGAAGGTGGAGTGAGGCTGTGGCATCTGGTGAAAGCCAGTGAGGAGCCTGAGCTGCCCAAACACCGCCGAGGCAGCCTCAGGGAGAGAGAGAGGGCCAAGGCCATCCCCGAGATCTACCTGACCCGCCTGCTGTCCATGAAGGTACACACACACACACACACACACACTCAGATACAGGGTTAGGTTTCCATATAGCTATCAAGTTTTACAAGTAAGTTTTACTTACAAGTTCATACTGAGAGCTGGTAAAATGTTTTATTATTCTAATAATTATAGAACCTTGTGATGTAGTACATTTCTGGAAATGTATTGTAGCCTTTATCTTATAAACATTGCTAAGTAATTATTTATACAATAATTGCATTACTTTTTAATGGGTGAAATAATGTTTCCATATCAAACGTGTGCAAAACTGTTTTACAATATTCAATAACATTTCACCAATGATGTTCATTTCTATTCAGCTGTATGAATTTGGTACATAGTCATTTACATGGGAATCAGACAACAGTCACATGTATACAAGTGCATACTGTATATACATAAACAGCAAACCACTTGATACACAAGTTTCCCACAGTGAACACACAGACACACTTCCTGTAATTGGTACACTGTTGCAAAGTAGCAAACAAACCTCTGCACTGAATCGTTCTGACTCCCTTCCTCCTCCTCCTCCTCCTCCTCCTCCTCCTCCTCCTCCTCCTTCTCCTCCTCCTCTGTGTTCTTTAGGGAACGCTGCAGAAGTTTGTAGACGATCTGTTCACAGTGATCCTCAGCACCAGTCGTCCCGTCCCGCTGGCTGTTAAATACTTCTTTGACCTGCTGGACGACCAGGCAGGACAACATGGCATCTCTGACCCAGAGACAATACACATTTGGAAGACCAACAGGTGAATCATAGACAAGGGATGGGACGATACACGATTTTATTGCGGATTGTGATATTAAAAAAACACACTCACAATATCAGTATAATTGTAATTATCATGTCCAGCAAAGAGCCTGCTGGGCAACCATCAGTGAAAAGCCCAGTTCAGACCAATGAATCATGACGATATGAAACCATTTCAGAACAGTATACAGTGTGTCCGCGGGGTCTTAAAAAGTATTAAAAGTTGATAAATCAAATGTCGGAAAATTAAGGCCATTAAAAAGTATTAAAAAGTCTTAATCGCGATTTTATGAAGTATTCAATTTTCTTGGCATTCAAGCTTTGACAAAAAGTATCCATGAATATATAATTTATTTTCCTCCTCGCGAATATTACAAACAGCGATGTGTAGGTAGGCACACTCGGACTGCCACTTGGGGTGGGGGCTGAGCGGAAAAAAAAAAGTCCAAAAAAGTTAATAACTTACAAATTATGGCAAAAAGGTAGTTTCTTGCAACCCTAGAATTAAGATAAAAATATTCACAAACGAAAAAGCACTTCTGGTTGCTGATAAGTAGTGTTTAACTTTTGAT